ACACACACACACACACACACACACACACACACACACACACACACACACACACACACATCACTTCAAATAAACGTTCTTAGTAGTCACAGGTCTTGTGTTTCTTCAAATGTTTAAAAATGACACTTTCTGCATGGCATTGTGTTAATTTAGTTTTTTATTGTAAACATTTAGGGGTCTCTGCAGTCATTACGTGGGAGGTTCTTGAGTGTGGGTGGAGTTTGGGAAAACCGTTATTGGTCAGATGGGGAAGTTAAAATAAGTAACTTTTAGCCATTATTTACTTACAGGAAGTATTAACCGATGAATGCTGTTAAGTAATAAAATTATGGTGAACATGTAAATATATTTTGACTTTCTATTTAGACAGAACAATATCTCAAATAAAAATGATTGTGAAAACTTACATGATGCAAAGTTTGACTTCAAATTGGGTGCAACTAGCATCTTCATGTTTAAATTTATGAACAATATACATATTCCTATTCAAAAATAACAATCTTTTCCCAGGCCAGTTAGGGCTATTCTGACTGAGCCTAACTGTTACATATCTATGGTGTTCATCCAACTGAACTGTGATGACTTTGTCAAAACCCAAGCAAAATAGTCAGTCTGACTAATCATGCCTTTCACAAACTCCTCCCACATCCAGGAACCTCCCACTTAGTTACTGCAAAGACCTCCTTTAAGCAGATTTTGTGTTTGATTTTTTTTATTTAAAAGGTTAACCTATAATTATAAAAAAAATATACAGCCCAGATTAAGTTCTACTGGTTTATTTTCATCAATGCTATGTTTTTAGTCTGACAAATTTCTGAATCTACACTGGACTGGTTGAAGTTTCTTCAGGAAGCTCAAAGAGTGTTGATTGATGGACAACAGAAAAATAATCAGTTCAGCAGCTGTTAAGAGCCAAAATGTTGGGCAATCAAAACACTCAGATGGTATAGTTTGGGTTAAAATAAAAGCTTTAGTATGACAGCTCTTTGCAAACAATCACTGCTCTGTCTAGACAGGATGAATGCAAGCTGCGTGTGATTTTAGGGTCGGTTAAATCCTTACTAAACAAGCAAGCTGTGTTATATTCCCATCTTTATCACCTGCCATCAAAGGCAAATGGTTGATAATGTTTTCACCTGCATCTCTGTGTTTATTAGAAAAATGTCTCATGTACATCTACACCTTACTTACCTTTTGAAGTCAAACTCACTCTATATGTATTTTTTATTTTTTTATATTTACAACAATTTTTAATATGTCTGTAGGAGTTTGTGGATGTCAGCCCCCCGCAGAGAAACTGGAAGGGCATCGCCATCTCTCTGCTGGTCATTGTGGTGGTCTGCTCACTCATCACCCTGTCAGTTGTTGTCCTCACCCCAGGTACGTAGTGATTTGTAAGGACTGGAATCAGCCAGATTGACTGATCTGACACTCTAAGAACATAGTTATTATTATTTTGGATTCATGAAGTAATTAGGATTTGACTAATTCAAGACTTATGTTTTCTGTTCTAAACAGAAAAAATAAGTCATATATATATATA